CCGGCACAGCTGCAAGGAGCGGGGTTTTCTTCCAAACCTGCTGGGGAACACCGGTCCGAGCACACTCTGGCACTCAGTATCGACATGTTGTCACAAAGCGTTGTGGCTGAAAACACAGGCTGTAAGAAGGATGCAAAAGAGTTTTATTAAACCACCTAATTACAAAAATAATGGAATGGAAGAAAAATAAAACAAAAATACCAGAATTCACATTGTGAGAAATGAGACATTACAGCAGAACGCTGGGGAAGCTCAGCTGAGCCGCTGGAATACATCGGTGGCTCTGCAGTGCCCGCGACACAGAGCTGCCGTGACCGACTTCCAGGTCAGCTCCAGCCCCCTCTGCGCTGCGTGGTTTCAGCCAACGCAGCGGGAAAGGGCAGCAGACATGCCAAGTTGCCGAACAGCTGCAGACAAATCACCAAACGTTTCTTTGGAAGGAAATGGAGAGTAAACGCGTATCCCTCGCTGCTCTGTACACCCCAGTCACCTCAAGATTTTTTCATTAGATGAAACTATTAGCCCACATAAACACTGGCTTCGTGTTAGCGCAGGCTGTGTTAATAGAAAGTTTCTGTGTAAACACTGAAAAAGGAATGGAATTGGACTAACTAAAGCATGTTGCTGCTTTTATCTGCAGCCTTGAGCAAGTGGCATCATCAGTACCTCCGTCTGACTCCTCAGTGTGCCCTTTCCTCTCCGAAAGGGAGAATACTGCTCTTTGGTAAGGGCCTCCCGAGAGCCTCCTCCCAAACAACTGCTAGCAAGAAGTTCAAGTTTGTGAAGCACTCTAACAGTGAACACTGCTGTGCGAAAAATATGTCAAGATTCTAAATGTAGTTAAGCAGAACAGAGGTTGTCAGATGCCATCCTGAGAGAGCTTTAAAGCAGCCAGAACATCCCTAACCTTGGGAAGCAGGGTGAAAACCCCAAAACACTTACCACCCCCACACTTGGCTCAAGTTGATCCCCAAAAAATTCAACTCCCAACACTCCAGCATGTACTTACTGAGATTCACATGGAAACAAACAGGATTTCTACTGAACTCTACATGTAGCTGTCACGTAAAAGCAAACCTAATTCTAATTTGTTAGAACAATCAGCATTGTCTTTCCTTATCGCATTCTCCTGAGGGAGACTAACACTCATGGCAAAGTCCCAGGGGTGGAGAGAGCACTCTGGCTGTCCAGTGAGCAGAAAATCTGCAAGTACAGCTCCAGCGCGTTCTCCTCACAGCAGGAGACGTTTGCTCAGTACAGCAGGTGGAAGACTTCCAGCAGCGCGGTGCCGCCAGACATTCAGCAGCAGAGGATCCTCTTCAGGAGTGCTCCGCGGGGCCTGCCCCGTGCCCGTTCACGTGAGGATGCGATGGGGTTGAGCTCTGGGAGGTAGCAGCGCTCTGCTCTGCTGTGGCAGCTGCCAGAGGCATGGAGAGGCTTTCGGGGGACAGTGTGGCAAAGTCTTGTCTCCAGTAGGCTTCACACAGCGGAAGATCATTGCTGTCACACAGACTGTAGCTTTCCAGAACAAACAACCCCAGTAAGGAGAGAGCATGTGCATTATGAGAGGAGGGGAGGGAGGGAAAGGGTGGGGGAAGCAAGACAGAAGCAAAGCATTAAGAAAATGGCAAAAAAATGTTCATGGATGTAAGGTCTGTGATCACAAATTCATCCCAAGTCTTGCGACATGGCCTTCCCTAAGATACGTTTAAGGGCTTGCCTTGAACCTGATGGGCCTGGTGAGGATCAGGGAAATTTCAGAGACTGAACTGTTGCTACAAACTAAAACAGAGGCTCAGTTCTACTCTAGATCCTCTAGGATCCTGGAAGATCTGGACTGAAGTCCTGGCACCCCAAAGATGGGAGTTCTGCTTCTGATTTGAGTGAGGCAATGACCTCATCCACCATTATTTTACTTGGAATTAATCACAACCTATGTGAGGAAAAAAAGAGAAATCCTGCTCTAAATTTACATCAGCAGAAAAGCTAGCACAATTGTTTTAGGGCCTGCCTCTCTCATGATAACAAAGAAACCTATTTGCACCCTTGCCCTTTCAATACAGTGCTCCACAGAAGGTCTGGGTCTTCTACTGAAGCTCCCCAGCCTGATTATAAAGTACTGATGGCTCCTACTACTTTCAGCAGACCCTGAGCTGTTCTTCTAAAAGCAGCTAGCTGGACTTGACACGGATGAACCAGCCGTGCGGGAAATGTGTGTTTAAACAACTGGCTAATTCTTGCCTGTGCTCTGAGGAAAAGACAATGTGGAAGTGACAAAACTAGAAGGAAAAATGATGGAAGAAATTGGAACAAAACCAAAGCAAATTCCAAAGAGAGGAAGGAGCTGCACACACAAGAGACGCCCAAGACAAAGTAAGTGCTGGAGCAGAAAGCAGCTTGCGTTCAGAGTAAAACAAACCCCGTGGGTCAAGTGATTTTTTTGTTGCAGCTTTATTTACATTTTTAATGTATGGACTTGAATAGATGCTTTGGTAAATATTTTAAGTGTAGAAATATGAGACACTTCAAATTGCACAAACATGAAACAAGTTGAGAACTAACTCCACGCTTGAGACAGCTCCTGTGATCTCAGAGGAGGGAGCAATGGAACATAAATGCAAGTTTGGGGTTTAGGATGAGAAAAGGCAAGCTGGACTTGGAGTTACCGCTTTGGGGAATAAGCGCAGAAAGCACTAGCTGCAAGCATCTACTTTTGAGCTCTTTCCTGGCTGGTTTTGCCAGTGCATGGAAGGGACCTCACTACCTCCCTTGGGGCAGGCAGGCAGGTCTGTGCACAGAAGAACAGCTCTACTTAACAAAGACTGAAAGCAAAGATTCCTTCAGAACAATCTACTCAGCTTTAGTTTCAAGGACCTGCTTTCAGGTGTTCTCATGGAAACCCTCACGTACACATAAAAAGCCTGGAAACGAAACCTGACCCTACAACGGAGATGCCTCCTATTAGCTACTCACAGTGGGCAAGGGGCTCTCTCCTAAGCCCCTTTAGCACAATGGCAGTGACAAACGCGTGACAGGAGTCACTCCCTCCCACAGGCTTTTCACTGCTGTCGAGAGCGGCGCACAGGGACCAAACAAGCTGCACAGCACAGGGCAGCTCTCAGCTTTGCAGCACCGGGAGGTGCGCTGCTGCAGGGAGCGCACTTTTCTATAGCCTTCCCTGGAAGGACGACCTAAAATAAACTATCCGGTGACCTTCAGGGAAACTGGAGCATGGGAGAGCAGTTTGGCAGGATGGTTGTATGGAAACCCCTCCCTGGCCTCACGGGACTGCACACCTTTTTATAAATCCTGTGGGATTGAGCCCCATGAGAAGGTAACAGACGGTGCAGAGAAGCGACCGCAGCTGGGCTCCCAGGACAGCACAGAATGCCCATCTGTGGGCAAACCAGCTATTGCATTGCAGCCATTTGAACGTGATTATCACTCTGCGACTGTGATATAACAGAAACCCTTCTTCCCCACATTAGACAACAAGGTTTCATTAAAAATATCTTAGTACTCTAATTATAAAAGGACTTTGAATAAATCACTGTTTCTATATTTACACACACACAATTTCTTTGGTGCAGAAGAAGACAGGAAAGAGCACAGGGAGGGAATAAGTGCTAAAAGCAAACAACTAAGTGCTATATGATATGAGGCTTCAGTGGAGGGATCGTAGCTCTGTAGTGTTGCCAAGTTTCCTCACCTTGTGCCCACTCTTATAAGAAAGAGCACAAAGGCAAATCTGTTCGGTGCATCCAACATTTGTGCTTAGCGCTAGCTCTGTTACAAAGGGTTGCTTTACCGGGCATTCGATGCCAGGCAGGCGAACAGACCATGCCAGCATGGTCAGAACCCCTTCATCCAAAAGCTAAAGCTACTGACACACAGTGTCAGCAGTCTGGTGACAGTGTGAGAGAAGCACACCTGGCACACGTGAGGCACTGTCATCCCACACTGCATCACTCTGGATACAGCTCACTGCTATGCTGTATGCAGGATGCACCCCTGCCCTCTCAGGGCCTGGACTGGTGCTTGGCTTTGTGACTATCACTCCTCATTTCTGAGACATTTCTAGGATCTTTTGCAACTCCCCCCCACAAAAATGAGTAAAGTTTGAAAAACAACTCTAAACTTTTACCTGCTTCCAATGTCGTAGCAGTTTTTAAGCTATGCGACATCAATATCTTTTTACTCTTAAAATATGTATATTACCCATAAATAATGGCCTAACTTCCAAAGATATTGAGCAATTAAGTGCTTTAGTTGACTTATCTGGGGTTATAGGCATTCAGTATTTTTAGAAAGAAGGGAAAGGCAAAAGTAGAAAACCTGGTCCTTAAAATTTTAAATAAGATTTTGAAAAGTCAAGTTTTTGTTTAGAAGTTATAGCATTGCACTGACTTCACTTGCTTGGACAGTGCAGCCAAAATAATCAGGTTCTCATTTTCTCCTGCTTTCATTTACTGCATCATCAACTAGAAGTGCTGGAGTGCATGATAGAAAATAAAAAAATAAAGTGTCTGAATTCTCTACAGCCTATTTTATAAGAGTACTTTTAAAATGTTAAAAATCAGTAATAAGTCTTCCTTAGAAAATCCTATTACAATACTTCACAATTCAGTGAAACTGAGCAAGCCTTCTTTGCTCATTTCAAATGTTCACCCCAACAGGACTCCACGCAGCCGGGGCCAGTGGGCTACAAGGCAAAGGCACACTGTGTAACCAGGTCACTTGTGAAAGAACTCACCATGAAGACGTGGTGATCTCATCTAACGTTAGGACCCAGCTCAGCAAGCTGGTCTCTCTAGGGAGAGAGAGAGAGGCTCCTCCAGAGGGATACTCAGACAGAAGCCTATACCCCCAAAGGAAATTAATCTCCTTTACAATGATTACAAAGGAAGCTTAAGCAAATCTATCCAATCTAGCCAACTAAAGCAGGCACCTAGAGTGGGATGCTGGGAATACCTCCTTCACCACAACATTTATACCCTGTAGGATATCTACAAGGAAAAGGCAGTTACTTTAGTTGCAGAAAAAGAGTTTGACCTAATTAAAAACAGGGGTGAAATTTTGTTGGGAACATTCTCAAGATCTGTACTCTAAGGGCTACTTGTTTGTCTGGACTAACTACCCCAAAAGGGCCGGAGTCATAAGGCAGAAGTCCACTGCCCTATTTGTACCTGGAAGAGTAATATTCTTCTTCTAGCTCGTACAGGTCAATGGAGATCTCATCCCGTAGTGCAATCAACTTCTTGTCACATTCCTCCTGCAAGCTTCTCAGCTGCTGGTTGCGCTGGTTGATAGCTTCATTCACAGAGGGGAAATCATTGAGGATCAAGAACTGCTTCAGGTCAGACACAAGTTTCATCAGGGACTCGCCAGCTCGGACCTTGTAGCAGGGAGAAAAATCACATAGCACATAGTATATATTTAAACAGTGCTTTGCTCCAGTTCTAAAACAAGATCTCCCAAGCTGCTCCTTCAGCCCAAGCTTTGAATAAAATAAAAAAATCACACATTATGTCAGGATTCTGACATAAGCCTGAGCTGACAAGCTAGGCTACCCAGCTTTCCCCCTAAAGAAGGGATTCACCCAACAGCCAGCCCAAATATGGGGTTACTCTTCTAGCAGCTGTTCTCATGAGTGGTATAAAGGCTGCGAACCCAACCGTAACTGAAGGATGTGCTGTCCCACTGATTTGAACAGCAGAGTGCTACTCACAATGTTTGCAGCTCTGACATGCATCTCATAGTTATCTTGTTCACCCTGCGTTGCTCGAGAAACTTGAGTTTCATCTTCAATCTAAAGAACAAAATATACGCATCCACGTTTACATACGAAAATGATAATACACGATTACTACATTACAAGGCATCTCCTTTCAGCTCAATCCACACCTGGAATCCCTGAGGGACCTCTGGACTCTACAGAACCCGGGGATCACCTTTGCTACCCTCCCTGCAAGC